CCCAGATCGGCCACCGACGACCCAGCCGAGAGGTCCGCGGGTGGTGGGACCAAAGGTTGCGAGGTCAACGGGGTCTTTGGTCTCGTATGACTTCTGGTCACGGGGGTAGTCGGGGCGGACGTTCTTCTGGACGGGGATGTCGATGGACTTTCCGAGGAACGGCAGCTCGACCTGGTGCTTGACCTCGGCCTGCGGGAGGAGAGTCACGTAGTACTCGTAGAAGGGCTTGCCTTCGCTCTGGCGCTGGTCATTGCCGAGCGATGCGCCGGGACAGCTCTGGAGGAAGTTCTCCATGCACCAGCGGTTGAATCCGGGCACGTCGAGCGTGAATTTGTCGACGAGCGCCTTCTTCTTGGTCTGGACGAAGATCCGGAAGTCCACGGTAGATACTTCTTGGTTTCGGGGGTTTTCTGGACTGTATCCGTTGAGAGTGAATTTGAGGCAGGTGAGGTCTTTGATAGCGTCGCCGATGGAGTGTCGGATCTGCCTCTCTGTCCACTCAGCCTTCTCTTCCAGGTCCAGGCCGACCAGGTAGTAATGGAATTCGGCCTGGTAACCTCCGAAGGCTGTGAGACCGACCTTGGTCGTCGATGGGGCAGGGTGGCCCTTGACACCGCTCACCCGTACTCGGTCTTTGCCAATGTCCTCCATGACAATCCCTTCCAGATTGGCGGTGACATCGGAGCCGTAGTATAATGGACCTTGAATCTCGTATAGAAGCTGGGAGGACACTGTTCCAACTGACACCTCTCCACCAGTGTTTGCTTCTTTGGTAATGATGCTTGTCCCATCGCATTCAACTTCGGCAATGGGGAAACCGATGTTTGCGCAGCTGTCCATCAGCCTCTTGAATCCAGAGTAATAACCGCCGCAGACATATGAAGAGCATTCGATAAGATGACCGGTGACCAATGCACCTGCAATCTGGTCGAGGTCCGTCTCACGGTCCCATCCGTGCCACCACATAGCCGCACCGATTGTAGGAGCAGCGTCAGCCACTCTGCCAGCGATGACGATGTCGCAACCCTGGCGTAGAGCCTCGGCGATGCCAGCACCACCAAGATAGCATCTACAAACTCGTTAGCTATATTCTCATTGTTTTTTCAAAGGCTGCTTTGGGGGCAACTTACTGAGCGCAGATAATTTCATGGCCCCATTCCTTGAGAGACTTGCCGTTCATCAAGCTGGGGAACACTTCGCCATTGTCGAAGAGCCTCTTGACGGTATCTGTCACCTCGTCTCCACTGACCCAGCCAACCTTGAGATCGAGCCCTTGCTTCTTAACCTCTTCTTCAACAAGCTTGGCTAGTAACTCGGTGTCGCTGGCTCCAGCGTTGACTGCCACCTTGATGCTCTTGGACTTGAGATATTGGAGGGCAGGAGCGAGGTTATCCATGAAGGTTGGGTCGAAGAGGCCTACAGGCTCTTCTTCCAGCGATCCCGACTGCTTGAGAGTTTCATTCTCGGCCTTCTGGGCACCATGCAATGTCATTGTGCATTCAGAGAGCCAGTCTCCGATGATGCAGTCAATGTCGCAGTTCTTCGCCAGGTCACCAATGGCTCTCTGGCGGTCGGAGAAGCCACCAGAAGATCCGGCGATCCGGATTGGGCGTTTTGCTGAAGTCATTGTGAATGGGGGGAGGATGTGTGTGGTGATGAGGGAGGGAGGGTGGTAGAGCGGCTAGAGCAACACCTTGATACTGAGATGGGACTCCAAATTCCCGATTCTTCCAAGCCAGAGGCCTAGTTTATATACACGGCCATCAATTGGGTCTAAAGACTCCGGAAAGCCATCATCCGGGTCACTGGTTACAAAAACCATATAACTTCCCAAGCGATGCCGCAGGGCACATCAGCAACCCCAGTTCTCCACCTGTCCCCAAGGTAGTGCGTGCGGGGAGAATCATGGAACGCGAGATCATTCCCATACGAAATATGGTGGGATACGATTCCGGCATCTCGGGAGAGGAAAACCTAGAAGCTTCAGGTTTCCAGTGTTGGAGCGGATAATCATAGCCAAAGGACTCATGACCGGCTGCTAGTCAGAAACGGAGGGCGTCCGGGAGTTCATTTTCCTGGTGGGGGCGTGAGGCTCACTCTAACGGCCTTCGTTTTGGTGTAATGGGTTAGGGATGACAAATTCATCAGGTTCGTCTCTCTTTCGATGTTTTTGGATGTGTCAAACCCAAAATTGCCGCTCACTAAGGTCGCTGGAAACCTTTTAGCAGGTCATCATATGTTTGATTCTGGAAGCTGTTGTGGGCAGGCTCCGTCCCCCTCGACTGGTTTGTAAAATAAGTTCGCTATCGGTTTTTCATGCCGGGCCAGGAATTAGCAATATGTTCGTTCATGGACCATAATTCCGAAATTCTTTTTTTGTTCTTCTCCCTCAGCCCATTAACCACTTTCAATCTTACCTGCTCCTCTCACCCACGTAGGTCTTACCTTGGGTACGATAACCGCCGCAATGATGTTCAATTCTCAATGGTTTAGCCTCAACACTTTGTCACCAGTCCCTCTGACCTACAATTTATTAGGAATGGCCCTATCGAAATGTAAACGTTTACCTGACTGGATGATATTTGAGAGAGTGCCTGGTTTCGAACTTAGGTAGCCAACGTCTAGGGTAGGTGAGGATAAAGGACCCTAGATGCCTAGGTAGACATGATGACGTCAGCATCCGAACTAGCAGACGGCCGCTTTTGCCTGCATCGACGGAGTCCGTCGACACAATTTAATCAACAGAAGCTGTCCGTCCAATTGCTGCTTGACTCAAACCTGCCACAATATGTCTACGAACAACAGCCAAGCATCGCCGGCTCTTGGGGCGAGAGCCCTCGGTTCGCCGGCCCATTGGACTCAGTTTCGTCCTGTCAACTACCTTCATAGAGCTGGTGTGGCGGCCTCATATCCAATTCGAGGAATCTGGTACTTTTCGCGCAGTAGAGAGTTCTGGCCGCTTTTTTTCGGACGACTGTTGCCCCTCTCTGTGATTTCCTTTCTTGTATACTTTATTCTCTTCGCGTTTGCGTTTCTGCCACAGTTTGCGTTTCTGGCAATTTTTCACGGATGGGGTGCCTGGGTCAGCGCAGTGGTGCTGGTTCTGGGAGAGGGACTGGTCATTATCCAAGGTCTTTTTGAAGGATTTTTTGTGGACGAGTGCCGTGTGGATGTATTTGATGTAAGGCTGATTTCCTGACTGTTTCTCGTGAGAGAACGCAAGCTCACTGCTTCTTTAGGCTACCCTCATTAAACTTGGTTTGATAAATTTACTACGCCCACATCGATTACTATTTGATGACGCCCCAACAGCCGTCAAGATGCTGGGAAAGCCCACGAGTTCTGCAATATACACGCCATGGAGCGTGATTCAGATCGTTGAGCTGATCGTTTTCCTCCCCCTCAACCTGATCCCGTGGGTCGGCACTCCCGCCTTCATTATTATTACTGGGACAAGGCTCGGAAAGCTGTCGCATTATCGCTGGTTCCAGCTCAAAGGATTTTCCAAGCAAGAGGCCAAGAGGGAAGCTAGGACCGTGCTGTGGGATGACGTTTGGTTTGGAACAGTGGCTATGATCTTGGAGCTGATCCCAGTCCTCTCCTTCTTCTTTCTTCTCACTACAACGACAGGCGCAGCCATTTGGACAGCAGAGATGGAGAAGAAAAGAGAAACCGCGAGCGCTGACACCACACAACCGGAAGCTATAGGCGAGGATCAGCCACCCGCGTATTCTGACATCGTATGAGAACGATGGGGTGCCACTGAGAAGGCACAAGATGCCTTCTAGAGGTACTTTCCCTGCTCAAGTAGCGCGCGGGCCTAGAATCTCTTGAATGTGAATACAAAATGGATTAGAGAATCCGGCAACAGAGCATTCCGTTTTCTTTGTTTGAGTTCCCACCTGCTGCATTTCATGCCGTTCTACCACCAGCCGAACCTCATCTACCTACCTGCCAATCACGTGCACCCTGATGGTCTAGAAAACCACTTAGCCCCCCAGAATGGACTTGATTTTCTCACACAGCATACGCCACGGAAGGTGGGCGCCTGGGTGCCTGGGTACATTGTCCACCACCGGGGATCTAGGAGGTTCTCTGTGAAAGTTGTTCCTGCCTCGCCCTCGAGCCGGACCGAATCTAAGCCACCAAGACCCGCTTGGGTTTCTCCACGGACGAAAATCAGACCATTCTATGGACGGTGGCTGCGTCCGAATACAGAGAGGTTTGCGGTTCCGGTAGGTGAGGAAGGTACGCACCGGTTTCCCTGCTACGTGTAGTGGGGTCGTCTGTCGAGGAATCTGGACTGAGCAACGAGTCTTAGCAACTCGGTTCAGGGACGATTTTGGTTCAAAAACAGGTTGCCCAATTTAGAGAGTCAGGGCAGTATTTGTGACCATTTATTACGACAAGGTAGTTTGTTATTGTTATCAAGGACTTGGTAACTGAACATGTAGCTGCATCGTGATATCACCCTCTCTCACAGGAAACAGGTAGGCGCAAGCAGATTCCACTCGCAGGACCCAATCCTCAGCTCGCTTCTACTTTCTCACCCAGGAAAATCGAGTGGTCTGCCGCTCCTGCAAATCTGTTGACCACCGAAGACGCACAGAGTTGCACCGGGGCCGCACCTTCCCGGTCACGATAGATGCCTGAGGATGCTCTTGCATGGCGGATCTCGGCTCCCAATCGTTCGAGACGTCCGCCTCACTTTTGGACTTCGTGAAAGATGGGAAGGAACGACGAGCTCGCGGGCGGGGCAGAGTGATGGCAGCCACTAGGAATAAAACACTGACCTGAGTTGCCGACGAGATTCTTCTTCTTCCTCCACCCTCATCCTCCACAATCTTTTCGCATTTCTTGCACTTCATCCTGTCTCTCACGTCTTTTTACCCTAATCTTTCCTTTAATCTCATCATAAATCTACATTACTGTCATTCAGGCGCAGAACAACACCGACTTTGGAGTCTATGGTCACTCTCTTCCATAGTACTCAGTACAACATGCGGTCCAAATCCTCGATCGGGGCCTTTGTTGCCGCCAGTTTCTTGGGCCAATCTTTTGCCCAAGCTCCCGAGTATGGGTAAGGAAAAGTTGCTCTACTCTCTTTGGTGTTCAATGTTGCTAATGACCTCTTAGAGACAGTGGTGGCAATCCTACCCAGGGCTCAGAGCTTAATACATACGGTGGCTCCTCGGCCACTTCAACTTGTGGTGCTGAGAAAACTACCACTGTTTTCGTCACAGTTCCCACTGGTTCTGGCAACCCCTCAGAGAGCCACATCGGCGATCAAAACCCTGGTCATTCAGAGCACACCGTGACGCGAATTCTTCAGTCTACTGTATTCGTATCTGATGGAATTCCCCATTCAAGTTCTGGTCCCTTTCTCTCTGCCGGCCCCCCTTCTCAATCTACTCTCTCATCTGCACCCAGCATAAGCGGCTCTGGTATCAAGCCCTTCACCACTATTACCATTGACATTTGGGGCACCGGGTCTGATCCTGCGCATGGCTCTAATACGCCTAGCACCGGGTCTGCCACTGATTTTCAACCCACTGCTTCCACGCAAGGGGACTCCGCTACTTCTACTTCTCCTCCTGAGTTGACATCTCAAACTGATTCTGCTACCAACCCCTGGTCCACGGTAACTGTTGTTGGTAGTGGAGCTACTCACCGGACTTCACTCTCTACACAAGCTAGTGAAGGCGTTTCGACTCTCTCAGGCACAGATGCAGCACAGACTTCTGCCCCCACCGCATATGACAGTTCTTATCCTGGAACTGAGAATCCTGCGCCCACCGTGGTCACTGATACAGATGTGTATTGGACAATTGGTGCAGATGGGCCGACCCAAGTCACCGTGCTCTCCTCATACACTCTCACTACGGATGAACCTTCCATCTCAGCACCGGACGCCTCCACAACCGGTGATACTCTACCGGGAGGAAGGGTTACTGTCACTGGCGCTGACGGAAAGCCTACTGTGATAATCAATGCGAGCACAATTTCTGAGGGTGATGGCTCTGAACCAACAGCCACCGAAAGCTCAATTCCGCTACCTGGTAACACTCTCCCTGGAGGAAAGACCACTGTCACTGGTGCTGATGGAAAGCCTACTGTGATCATCAATGCGAGCACCATCTCTGAAGGCGATGGTCCTGAACCAACAGCCACTGAAAGCTCAATTCCGCTACCTGGTAACACCCTGCCTGGAGGAAAGACCACTGTCACTGGTGTTGATGGAAAGCCTACTGTGATCATCAATGCCAGCACCATTTCTGAAGGCGATGGCCCTGAGCCAACGGCCGCCGAAAGCTCCCTTCCGCTACCTGGTAACACTCTGCCTGGAGGAAAGATCACCGTCACTGGTTCCGATGGAAAGCCTACAGTGATAATCAATGGAGGTGACACCTCTGGAGCCGTGGGCCCAACACCAACAGCCGCCCAACCCTCTTCTATCCTTGATAACAACCTCCCAGGAGGAAGGGTCACAATAACCGGTGCTGATGGAAAGCCTACTGTCATCATCAATGGAGCCGATACCTCTGGAGCCGTGGGCCCAACACTAACAGCCGCCCAACCCTCTTCAATACTCGACAACAACTTCCCAGGAGGAAGGGTCACAATAACCGGTGCTGATGGAGAGCCAACCGTGATCATCAATGGAGGTGGCATCTCTGGTGGTGTTGGACCAGAACCTACAGCCGACCAAACCTTAACGGTACCTGGAAACGCTCTACCAGGAGGAAGGATCACCATCACTGGCACCGATGGTAACCCAACGGTCATCATCAATGAAGGTGGCGTCTCCCAAACAGGCCCACAGAGCTCGATCTTGACCCCAGGTAACAATCTTCCAGGGGGAAGAGTCACCATCACGGGAACCGATGGGAAGCCTACTGTGGTAATCGATGCAGGCCACATCTCTGGGGGAGATGGAACTCCACCAACGGCCTCACAGGGCGCTCCTACAATTCCTTCATCTCAAGTTTATGGCTCTGGTGACTCTGGATACTCTTACCCACTCCCAGGAGGTCCCTCATCGGCTGTGATCACTGGAAGCATCCCAAAAACCACGTTCACTGTCATCGGAACAGATGGTCTGCCTACCGTTGTTGAATCAACTCTGGCAACCCCAGGCAATGCCCCATCAACTGGTATTTTGCCCTTCCCTACCAATCCTCCTTTACCTGGTTCAGCCTCTGGAAATAGTGGCGGGATTCCCACCTACTTCCCTTCCTCAGCTATTGGCAGTGGAGACATCCCTCAGACTACATTCACTGTCATTGGCACAGATGGTCTCCCTACCATCGTTACATCACCTTTTGATGTCCCAGGAACAGGTTCCGTGCCTTACCCAACCAATCCCCCCATTCCCGGGTGGCCAGCATCTGGATTTCCCGGGTGGCCTTCTGCAAGTTTGCCCCCTGCTGCTCCCCAAAGCGGAATCACAACGCACTTCACCTTTACCTACATTGGCGGAAACGGGCTGCCGACTCAGGTGGAGTCTACCGTTGTTCTCTCTCCAACGGACCAAGCTTCCAATGGCGCAATTCCAACCATCCCGGTGCCTCGCCCAGGATCGTCAGATGACCTCCCTAGCAGCGAAGGCGTGACAACTTGTTACAGTTACACCGTACTCGGACCCAACGGGCTGCCTACTGTTGTTGAATCGACGGTAGTAATCCCTACTGCAGTCCCGGTTACGACTCCGCCACTTGGATTACCGACTCAATTTCCATCTGGCCAAGGTGCTCCTCAGGGCTTCCCCACGGTTGGCGGGCTCACTTCTACTTTCAGTTACACGTTCACAGGAATTGATGGACGCCCCACAGTCCTGGAAACCACTATCGTTGCAACACCAACCAACCCAGTACCGGGATTTCCTGGGGGTGTGCCAGGGCCCGTGATCACTCAAGGGGCATTTGACAGCGGCGTCCCAGTATCACCTTCGACTACCTGCACCACATTAACTTTTATCGGACCTGACGGGATTCCAACAGTAACAAAATCAACATGGACGATTGCTGCTCCCATCCAAACCACCTCTGTTGTTGGTGGCGCTCCTGGAGCCCCAGGCCCTCTTCCAACTCTTGGCTGGCCTTGGCCAGCAACTGGAGCTTTGCCATCTGCACTTCCTTCTGGCTTCCCATCAGGTTTCCCCTCAGGTTACCCATCAGGTTATCCCTCCGGTTACCCATCAGGTTATCCCTCCGGTTACCCATCAGGTTTCCCCTCAGGTTTCCCATCAGGTTATCCATCAGGTTACCCATCAGGTTTCCCCTCCGGTTACCCATCAGGTCTGCCCTCCGGTTACCCATCAGGTCTGCCCTCTGGCTACCCTTCAGGTCTGCCCTCTGGTTACCCTTCAGGTCTGCCCTCTGGTTACCCTTCAGGTTATCCTTCCGGCTTCCCTTCGATTCCCAACGGCCAAGGGGCTCCTAGCACTACTTGCACTAGTTTCACCGTCCTGGGACCTGATGGACTCCCTACAGTTGTCGAAACAACCTGGACGGCACCTGGTGGCTTCCCTCAAGCAACAGGCAATTCTCCCAATCCTTTCCCATGGAATGTGCCTGTTATCACGCCTGGCGCTCCCGGAAATCCTCAACAAACTGGCCCTCTTGGCGTGCAGCCCACTATTGCTAGCACAATATACACTCAGCTAGGAGCTGATGGACGGCCCACGGTTGTTGAGACAACTTGGACGGAGCTTGGCCCCATTGCCACTGGCAGCGGCATTCCTGAAGGCCCCGGCGGCGCTGTAGCCCCCTTCCCATGGAATTTACCTGGTATCACTCCTGGCGCTCCTGGATACCCCCAACAAACTGGACCATTTGGTGCAGGGGCTTCTACCACTTGTACGACATTTACCCAACTAGGTGCTGACGGCTTGCCAACTGTTGTTGATTTGACCTGGACTGTTCCAGCCCCTGCACAAACTACTATCGGAGCACCTTCTGTTGTCTCATCAGTTGCTGGCCTTCCCCAGGGCACATCTCCACCCGGACCTGGAATTTCGGCAGTCACGACTTCGTTTACCATTGTGAACATTGGTCCGAATGGTCTGCCGACCCCGGTTGTTCAAACTGTTGTACTCACTCCTACTCCTGTTTCCACGGCTAATGGTGCTGGCCTTCCCCAGGGCACATCTCCACCCGGACCTGAAATTTCAGCAGTTACGACTTCGTTTACCATTGTGAACATTGGTCCGAATGGTCTACCGACCCCGGTTGTTCAAACTGTTGTACTCACTCCTGCTCCTGTTTCCACGGCCACTGGTGCTGGAATTCCCTTTCCTCTGCCCTCCGGTCCAGTCATTGATACAGCGCAAATCCAAACGCCTAGTTTAAGCGCTTATGGGCCAGAACTTTCGGGATTTCCCACGATTGGTGTACCATTCCCACCAAATTTGCCCTCAATCTTTAGCAACGGCCTTCCACCTCTCATCACGGGTCCTTTGAGTGGCATTTTGACTGGGCCGGGTGCAGGAACTCCCACACCTGTTTCCAATCCTTTCGACCAGTCATCGAATCTAGGAATTCCAGGATTCCCGCTCACTCCTGGAGCTACCCCTCCATCATATGGAAGTGATCTGAATGATGGTGCTGTTCGTCCTGGCCCATCAGGTCCTTTGCCCACGGATGCAACTCTTTGGCCCTCTGCAGTTGCCTATAACACCCCATCTGTGGCCTCCCCAGTTTTAAGTCTGCCATGCACAACCTTAAAAACCACTACTTGGGTTAATATCATCCCGGAGCAGACGACAACCTATACGCTCAACTATCCATTCACAACATTGGCCGCTGTTACTTCTCCAGTTAAACTTAGGGGTTTCAGAAACATTATTCGACGACAATTGAGGTAAGATATTTTTCTGCTGCAGACTATAGATCTCAAACTCATCACCGAACAGCTCCGCAGGAATTGATTCCCAATGGTCTAATTCAAGCACACCAATCCAAACACCGTCTGCGACATCTCCAGTGTTACAGAGCCCAACACTATGCTCTTCTGGGGGAAATATTGGCAACTATACTCTTGATGTAAGTTTGTTTCGCAGCAGAGGAGAAAGCGATTCATCAACTAACTTCTCCCAGTTTGATGACATCGAAGCCGGTCCATTATACAATCCTGCGGGCGACTTCTGGTTCTCCCAGGGATTTTCCGTCGTCCCCCCTTCTTCCCAGACGGGCGCTTACTCTCCTTCTTCTGGTGGCCAGCTCATCGAATTCGTCCCTCCTTCGTCATTAGGATCAATTGGCAGTGGATCCAGCGACACAGCAGAGATTGGTGTTGGCCCCAACTTTGCAATTCCTTGCTACAAATTCAACATTTACGGTCTTAATCTAGGATGTGCAGCTCAAAGTAGTGAGCAGTGGTGCGAATTTGAGATCGCCGCATACGCATATGATGAAAATTCCAGAAGCGAACAATCGTTGTCATGGTCGGAGACGAAGCGCGTTCCAGCATGCCCCAACTATCCAACTGGCGTGTGCAGTTTGTCATCTGTTGATTTAGATGGGTATACGAACGTCACATCTGTTTTGATCAGTCTTCGAGTTGGGTTGGAGTCACGCACCTGGTGGGCTGACGATCTTCGTGTTGGCTGGACAGACAATAGCTGCGAAGCTGCTAGCTGTCGCGCTGATTCTTCATTTGCTGCCCATAAGAGATCTACCCAGAACTCTCTTCGTCGCAGACTCTGGGAACTTGCGTCTTCAAAGCACAGGCGCTCTCTTGGCAGACTTGGTGGGAATGCTACGCATTGATGGTGTCGGAACTGAAAAGATCAATGCATGAATGAACTTTATGGGCTTATGTGCCCATTTACAATTGTCGTGGGAGTTGAATTTGTTTTCGATTGACAAATATCTGATCTTGATTTCTTGGGAGCCGAGGTAATAGTTGATGAACGGGAACTGGGCGTAATACTAGATGAGTTATGAACTACGTCTGTCACATAGCCAGAGAGGCTGCATGATTATTTGCGAATAAACGCCATGGGTTGAATGAGCTTTCTTTCTGACAGGTGACATGTGTGATTTAGATGATGGCAACCAAGCTCTTCGCAGCTATTTGTAATCGAAACTCTGAGGTTTGCAGTTGCGGAAGAGTTTCGCCTAACCCCGTCTTCAGATGGGCTGGATGCTCAGCTCCATTAGATATGGAACAGGGCAAAGCAGGGCCCGAGATCGCATCGCGACATTGATCATGTGTCAATTGCTTCACCAACAGCTCGAAGACCTACCTAAAAGGCGGTTTACGCCGTCACTTGCCTCCGGGAATAACAATCCGATGAGAGGAACGGATCTCCACATTGACGGCAAAATCACCCCCGAACTCCACATGGATGATAAATGAGTCCCAACACCGACTTGCTTGGCGTGTTAGCCGATATCGGGTCCGGCGATTCGGTCCAACGTGCCAACCAGTTAATCAAGATCAATTATTCCCGACAGGGTCACCAGGGTGTCGTCCTTGGGCCCGCTTTGGCTCGGTTGTGTTTGCTGGAGACGCCGAGACGGGGGATCTCCTCCTTACCCTCCTGGGATGATTTGAAATCCCGAAAAGTAGGCAGTCTCAGAAATCTACAGTTGCCCTGGGGTATCAAACCATGACTGGATAGAGGGTGAACAAGCCATATTCAACTACATTGATGAGTCGGTTGGAGTTGATAGGTTTGAACCATTGGCCGACCTGGCGTTTTCAAGATACAGTTTAGAGAAAATGGACCCGGAACAGTCAGAGAAACACGGCCAACCCGAGGCCCTTGATCAAGGCATTCAAGTGGATGATGAGAAACGGGCCCAGCCAACCAACGGCAGCAGCTGCAGCAGCAGCACAGGCTCCGATGACGCCAGAAACAAGACAGAGGCGGGTGCCATCGATGAATTGGAAAATATTGCTGAGGTCTGTGAGGGTGAGGCCGAGGAAAATGATAGCCCGGGAGTCGTCAGCTGTGTTCTGAGCCGCATAACGTCAAGATCTACGACAGTAGATCCAGGACCACCGCCAGATGGTGGATGGAGGGCATGGTCTCAGTGTACGTGATTGCAAGCCCCTCTTGTTGTTGCTGTGTTGTTTTGTTTGCTAACGCTCCTCGGAGCACAGGCATAGCTGTACACTTCATCATATCTAATAGCTGGGGATTCATTAACTCGTTTGGTACGTGGCAATCGTACTATGTCACTCTCCTCCCCGAGAGAACGGCGTTTGAAATATCCATGATTGGGTCTTTGACGGTATTCCTGCTCTTCTTCATCGGCACATTCACCGGACGCCTCACGGACGCCGGCTACTTCCGCCAGTGCTATGTGATAGGGAGTATTTTCCAGATTGGGGGTATTATCTGCACCTCGTTCTGCACCAAGTACTGGCAGTTCATCCTCGCCCAGGGCCTCTGTATTGGGATTGGGAACGGCTTCCTTTTCTGCCCTTCCCTCGCGCTGGTGTCGACGTACTTCCTCAAGAGGCGGGCTATTGCCATCGGGATCTCAGCTGCCGGCGGAGTAACTGGCGGAGTCATATTCCCGGTCATGGCAAGGCAGCTGCTGCCCAAGATTGGGTTCCCCTGGACCATCCGGGCCATTGCGCTGGTTCAATTAGTGTGCCTCGCCATCTCGAATATCCTCGCCAAGCCGAGGATCAAGCCCAGGATACAGGGCCCAATCATCGAGACACAGGCCTTCAGGGAGCTTGAGTATACTTCGTATGCCGTAGCCGCCTTTCTGGTAAGCAACTGCCCACCTTGATTCCCCTTGACTGGCTTCTCCAAAGATGAGAGAAGCTGCTGTAATCGAAGCAATTCCAGATAAAACTAATCAACCCGCGGTGGGAAAAATAGTTCTTCTGGGGGGTATACTTCGCCTTCTACTACCTCGCCGCCTTCTCCCGCGACGGCCTCCCCGACCCCGTGTCCTTCACCGAGAGCCTCAACCTGCTCCTCGTCCTCAATGGCGTGGGCATGGTCGGCCGCCTCGCCCCCAACTACTTCGCCGACCGCGTGGGCGCCGTCAACATCTTCATCCCCGTGTGCGCCATCGCCGCCCTCCTCGTCTTCTGCTGGATGGCCGTGACCACGGTCCCGGGGCTCTACGCCTGGAGCGTCTTCTACGGCGTCTTCTCCGCGGGCGTGCAGAGCCTCTTCCCCGCCGCGCTGAGCTTCCTCACCAGCGACCTGCGCAAGCTCGGCGTCCGCATGGGCATGGTCTTCACCATCGTCTCCTTCGCCGTGCTCACCGGCCCGCCCATCGCGGGCGCCATCATCGACCGCACGGGGTCCTACAGGGCCGCGCAGGCCTTCTCGGGCTCGTCGCTCGCCCTAGGGTCCGTGTTCCTGTTCGTGTCCAAGGTGGTGCGGATGCGCAAGCTGGGTCAGGGGTGGACGGGCAAGGTGTGAAACAAGGTTATCCTTCCCCTCCCTCCTTATTTGTTTTTGGGTCGTAAGCGAAACAGCACCTTGCTTTCTCTCTTTTTCTCTCCCTTCGCAATGTTATCTTGGATCAATTGCAGGAGAGTTACCCAAAGAGCGCCCTGACGGTCAAGTGGAGGAGTTGATAGTCCAACCGAACCCTCAGGTCAAGATGGTAGAGCGAAGAGCGATCTTGAAAAGGAGATGTGGGAGTAGCAGAGTATTTACTATATTTCCAAAATAATCAGCATTTTTATGTGGGAAAGCCAAGAAAATGGCTCATTGATATTGAATACAGGTGGATGAATGGCGATTTAAAACAATTTGCCAATGCCCCCAAGTGGAGGCTCGCATGTATGTTGGATGGATCTATCCATTCCGTGCAGATGTCGTGATTTCACTGGATAGAGAGCACGCCATCGGGTTCGCTTGCCTCAAATACTAGCGATACGATTACCATTCATTCTCAACTGAAGTAGGATACTTTGGGCTGTGCTTAGCAGAAACAGAGAGAAATCAGTTACTACTCCCAGTCTTGAAGGCTTTGAAAGTCTGGTGCTCCTTTAATTGAGACCTTGGGAGGGTGAAACAAGACGGCTCTCTATCATCAATCACGAATATCAATCACGAAGCAACAAGCTGGTCACACGGCAGAAGAGCAAAGATAAATAACAAAAATCAAATCATTTAATGGGACTTGGGGAATCTAAATGCCGTAACCCGAGCTCGTTTCATGGACATAACCGTGAGCTTACATACAAAATAATCGTCGACTTTTCTTTCTTCTTGAGGCCTTTCTTCCACAGCCAAATAACAACCGTATGCAGAAAATTAGAGACCTGTGATTTGTATCCCCAAACAACCTAAAACCAAGCACTCCGACGCACTATAAACCAGCCGACCTCCTGAACCAATCAATCGGGGCCTCCGGAAATCTTCCTGGAACCGCACGATCCTGGGAGACTCCCAGCTCCAGTTCGATACATAATCAAGCAACGCTTCGCTTCTTGGCATGCATGGACTCCGCACGATGCGTATCATAAGTTACATTACAACCTGATGACAAAAGTTAGTCTTGATCCGGAAAGAAGTAAGTGGGAGAGACTTACGCAATCTCCATCCTGCTTTCCTTGTGGAATACCCATATCCTCGAAGGTTGCCGGTCCTTTACTCGGTGGAGCACTGGCGGCCTTGGCTGGCTTGGGAGGAGCGCTTTGTACAGATGGCGCAGGGCTTGGCTTGCTCTCGGGCCTTTGCATCTGCATCTGTCCTGGCGGTGCCGTGCCTGATCTTCCAGGCATAGGACCACCAGCCCCAGGATGACCCATGGGAGGACGGCCAGGATCGTTCGGGCCTCTCTGGTATCGTGGGTCTTGTTGTTGCGGTTGAGGGTATCCGGCGCCGGGGTGGCCGCCTTGCTGGCGGGAGTAGCGTGGATCTCCCTGAGGAGGTGCTGCGGAGGGAGGGCGGTGATCGTAAGGAGGGTTTCCCATTGGGGGGCCCTGCTTTGGCACTCTGCCTTGGTTCTGGTTGGGATAGGGAGCAGCGCTGTTGGGGCGCATCTGAGGGTTGCCGCCGGTAGGACTGTGTGGTCCTCCTGGCCCTGGACTGTTCTGTCTGAATGCTCCAGGGCCGGCAGAAGCCACCCGGCCACGAGGGTCAGGATATGAGCCAGGGGCAGGGTGAAGGTTGTTCATGGACTGGCTGCCATGCACCATTGGCCGTTGGCCAGGACCACCAGGGCCGCCGGGGGGGCCATGGGGAGGACCCTGAGGATGACCCTGAGGAGGGCCTTGAGGCTTGATGCCAAATGCTGGGCCTGGGCCTGGGCCTGGGCGACCGCCATTGTAGCCCTGAGGAGGGCCTCGTAGATCGTCCTCGGGGTATGGCGCTGGGCCCTTGGGTGGGCCTCCATGAATAGGAAGATTCCTCTCGTCCTCGGGGTAGGGGGCAGTCGACTGCCGGGCGGGACCAGACCCAGCAGTGTCAACGCGAACTCCAAAGGCGGGTCTGTCGCCACCGGGGATACCGCTCGTATCGATGATCGACGCCCTCGAGGGATCGGGGAAGTTGACGTGCTCGACAACTGTCGGCCGTGCTCCTGGAGAAGCATGTGACGCGGGCAGTGGCAGGCCAGGCGCGGCATCGTTGACTGGAGTTTGGGGTGTGCTCTCGCTTACGGTCGGCATTTGTTGAGGCTGCTTGAAACGATCAGGTCGCTTGCCTCGTTGTGATCCATGCTGAGACTTGATCCTGGTAAGCGTTGTGGTTTCGTGGTCCTGCTTTGACAGAGTCTTGTCCTGGTTTAGAGACTCCAGGCGTCCGAGAGCGTCCTTGTTTCCATGGTCAGCTGCAAGCTGATACCAAACTCGTGCCTCGTTGAGGTTCTTCTCAACAAAGATACCGATTTCGTGATAGTAACCCATGGCAAACTCGCCAGTGGGAAGTTTAGCATCGGACGCTTGTTGAGCGTACTTGAAGGCGAGCTCCTCGTTCTTCTTGAAGACGCCCTCGTAGCCAAACAGGAACCATCTGCTCACTCCCAGGGCAGCCTCGGCATTGCCTTGGTTGGCAGCGAGGCCATAGTAGTGGATGGAGTAAGAGGGATTAAATTCGCAGCCAAGCTGGCACAGCTCAAAAGCCTGGCCCATTTTGTGTTGTGCTTTGGCGAAACCCAGGTAGGCCGCCTTTTCAATGTACATCATTGAGGTCTGGGGGCTGTTGGGCAGCATCGAATCCGGAATATAGATGTCGGGAAGCTCTCGACCAACAAGCATACCGTAGACAAAGGCACCCTGAGGGGAGTCCTCGTCAGCATTGTCGGCAGCTGCTCTGATGCGGTCCAGACCAGTCTGGTAGTCCTTGGCCTCACCGAGCTGACCCAGAAGACTCATCATGCCCAGACGGTAGAGGGAAGCGGAATCCTGCTGAGCCATTCCCCGGTAGTAATGCTCCTTGGCCTTTGATGTGTCGTTGGACTGCTCGAAGAGCATACCCATGCGGTACTCTGAGCGTGGGTGGCCAAGCTCTGCAGCCCGTCTGTAGCCATTGTAGGCTTCTCTGCGGTCGATGCGGTTGCCGAACTTCCCAAACTCGAGCCATTTCGATCGGATGTAGAGGGCCTGAGGGTGGTCCTGCTCGGCAAGGTATGTGATGATGTTGAGAGCATCAACCCTCAGCTCATGCTCGGTGCGGGGTGTTGAAGGTCGGGGGTTGTCCCGGTTTTCTCGGACTGCGGCCTCTGAAACAATCTCAACCCAGTTGAGGACGTCTCGAGCCCATGTGATTTGCATCGACACGTTCTGGGAGCCAAGGACGTGCTTGCGAGCCTTCCAGAGAATGTCCTCCTTTTCTTCGTCAGAGGGGGGGATGGTGTCGCCTTTGACCTTGGGGAAGGGGGAGAAGGAAGGGCCCAGAGACCCCGCGTTGTCAGGCAGATCCATGATGCCGGTGTATGCTTTTATGCCGCCTTGATCTGTTTGGCTCTGTGGGGGAGCGGCGGCGGACGTGGTGTTGCTGCTCTTTCCGCCGTATGTTTGTGGCTGGGATGCCACAGGTGGCTGCTGGGGCTGATGTGGTTGTTTTGGTGGTCGTTGTGGTGGTTGCTGTGACTGCTGGTGTTGGGGTTGGGAGCCCTCTTGCGATTGCCCGATGAAGGTCGAGAGGGAAGGGTCTCGGGCGTGGCGCGCTTTCGAATCGCCGGTGGTGGTCTTGGGTTCTTCTCTGGCTTCAAGTTCCATGCGCTGAAGGTCGTCTTGCATGTTCTGGGGGACCTGGGGGGTCACTCTGTGCGCAGGAAGAACAGAATCCGTCAGCAAGGGACGCCCCACCACAGTATCATTTCCAGTGAGAGCCGCGTGCGGGCGTGTGTGGAGAGCGAGACATGGATTGCTTGCGAGCAACTCCCGACGGCCAACCAGTCGTTTTTACGAGGTAGGAGAAACGGGGGCAGGGAGACAGGGAGCGGCAAGGAGATTTAAATCAAACAGCGAGAGGAAGACATACCTTTGGGGTGAGGGAGCTACGACCTCAGGCATGGAATAGTCGTCCCATCCGCCAGGGACAAAAGTAGCACCAAGCTCGGGTGCGCGTTGGTGAGCCATATCGGTTGGTGGATGCGGGGCTTGGCCGTCTGCACAAGGGAGAAAAGGAGTAGAAGAGTCAGCAATGTGGCTTGGTCGCAGGCAGGTAATAACAGAGCCCAGCAACAACGGCTGCTCGTATTATTGGCACAGTCCAATGAGTCCGAGCGGCGCACGTTACTCTCCAGGTGGGAGTGGGCTTGGATTTGGAGGGGGTGCTGACAGCCAGACAGACGGCCAGGGCCAGTCTGTGTGTAAGGCAGGTAAGATGATGCGATTTGGTGCAGGCAGCCCAGCCCAGCGCGGTGCTGCAGCTGGAGCCGGAGCTTTCAGGCGCTGGCCAGGGCACTGGTTAGGTGCTGCTCCAGCGGGCCGGGAAGGGAGGGGAGGGGTAGGCGGCCGGCCAGGTAGGTGCACGGGTAGGTAAGCTAGCGCCCAGTGCACAGCGCAGCGCACAGCAGCAGCCACCACCATAGCGACTGGCAGTGATGCCCCTCCAGCTGAACCGAAACCGACGACACAATGACGCCGAGGCGCTTGCCCCTTGCGCGCCCGCCCACGAAAGGCGTCCGCAGGCAGCACGCAGGCCGTTGATGCCCAGACCCGCGCGTCGGAGAGAGAAGGGGGGGTGTCGGGCTGGTGGGTAAAGCCATGCATCAGGGCTCCTCGCTCACTTGAGCACGCACCGTACGGTATTAGTCAAGACGGCGCTGGTGGGTGACGATACCGAGCACTCAGCACGCCCCTTCGGTGGGAGCCGCTAACTTCTAGGTAGGCAGGTGCTCCGTAGAAAACCAAGCAACGAAATGTACAGTGCAGCAAATGCACATACGTACCAATGAGCAGGCAGTTCCAGCGCGACAAGGGTAGGCTGTCTCGCAAGAGCCGAACGTCGCAACGTGGTAGGTGATGTGTAGCGGTCGCGATGGAAAGGCCCAGAAGTAGTAATGCGAAGATCCTATCTGAGGGACGGATGCTGTCATACACCTCTCGAGGTGTGGCTGGTGCGGTGCAGCAGGATAATGGGAAAACGTGGGGACGGGGTAGGTAAAGAAACGTCTAGTGCGTAGGACTTTCGTCACGCAGGCACAGCAGGGTGCTTTCTAACTTCGGCAGTCTGGCCAACATTGGCTCTGCAGGTGGTGCTGCACTAGACAAGGAGGTAGGGGTGACGGAATCAAAAGAACGCGAAAGAGATTGCGACTTCTTTGCTTCTCTGCACCTAGGTATGTAATTATAGCAAAGCCCGCTCGCTGCTAACGAAGCTGGCAGGCAGCACACTGGTGCTGGGGGGTGGGTTGAGCCCGGCATCTTCCACATACCAGCAGGAGATGGCCGTTAGAGAAAGGCAAAATCGGGAGACGTCCACGAAGTGCTGCGCCCTGCCCATCGCCCTAACGCGTGCGATAATGCGTCGTCCTGTGGCTTGGAGGGCAGACCATTCCAATCAAGACAACCGAAGACGAGAATCCCAGCAATGCCTAATGGATGTAGGCAGCGAGCCCCGCTCGGTGTGTTCGTCTCGACTAAGCACCAGTGACGTGCTATTTTAGATTTTGGGCCTTTCCTCCAGAGGCCACGGCCGGCCTGGAGTGGGTGCGTGTGCTGTGCATGGATAATATGATGTACGGAACCCGAGCCGCTGCGATGTGATGGTGAAAAAGGGAACAGGGAGTGGAAGGGGTGGCTAGAAGGAGGGGAAGAAGGAAACCATGAAACTCGTCGCTTCTGTGACACTCACCTATCACTTGATCAAGCTCTGTTGCGTCCCTGCGACCAGTTTGGCCTCTGAGGTGAAGATGTCCAGACCGTAAGGACTTCGGCCAAACCGCTTTGTTCTGGGTGACTTTGTTGCTGCTGTGAGATCAACTCGGTAACTAGCAGTAGGCTGAAGGCTTATTAGTGGGGCCGTGGGAGGTGGTGCGCCGTTTGACGCCCCAAAGCGGATGTTCTGGAGGAATAATGTACAGTTGGCAATAAGTGGGTGGAAGATTGATCAAGATTGGAAGCAAGAAGCGGACAGCAGGAGAAGATAAATCTTTCGCGCTGGTGTGCAGGCAGCGTAAACAAGTGGCCACCCGTTAATCGATAATAATAGCGCGTACAGGCCAACACGATGCCAAAGGCTCGACGGGCGTCGTGGACATTTGCTACCACCTGCACCTCTCCCGCGGGTTGCTCTGCTCTGCCTGGGCCGCTGGTTAGTAGGGACCAGCCCATTCTAGGTCCCAGCTGGGGTTGGCTGCACTGCCCAGAAGTCTCCGAATCAGCCTAATTACGGGGTGTCCCCGTTTGCAGTAATTTCCAATGCACAGCGATCCTACTCATTACCAGCGAACGATGGATCCCGAAATGCTGATCCGGGCCACCAGCAAGCTGGACCCTGATATTCACACGTATCAGCATCATCGCGGCATGGATGTGACAACAAATACGTTGAAATACGCGCTGGTAGGGACGCAGCATTTTTGTCTTTTTATAGACAGCATAGCCAACGGGCAATTGGGGCAGTACGGTCCTGAGCTCCCTCCAATAATCCAAAGTCGCACCTTTGCCATGGCTTTAATGACATAGTGCTTCGAAATAGGATTCCCCATTGCAACGCACAGGGGTTTAAAACCGCCCTTGCAGTATACCTACATCAGCTTCCCAACTTTGATATCCAACCCCCACGACCTCATGGTTCATTAGACATAAGCACACCCAAGGCCCAAGTGCTAAAACAGGCTCTTGAAAAAAGAACAGCTGGCGAAATGACCTTCCAAGTTCGCCTCCTCCTAGATGCATACCGAATCAGCCCCAGCTGGCTTGGACTGCAGGAGCTGGAATTTTAGTGCCAACCCAAGCATCAGATGACTTTCTAGCTCGCTCCAGTCTGAGTGGCTCAAACGAGCATTTCTCAATGGGCACTCGCGGGCAATCGAACTTGAATTTGAATTTGACAGATGAACAATGCCGAATGCTGACATCTTACACGACCTATAAACGAGCGACGGATCATCTTTCTATCCTATAATCTGACAAGAAATGCCCATACTAACAATAAGCAATACGATATCTAGAGGTAATTAGGGTGATTAATTATCATCAATTCGGATCTCGGGGGGCATGATCTTGTTTATTGGTTTGATGAGCCGCAAACATGTGAAGCTGCCAAAGCGAAGCCCCGCGTTAGCGCACTTAGACGTCCAGATCTTATCTTGGCCCGGCTCGGAGCAACGATACTCCTAAATTCTAGGCGATAGCAACTGCGTCAGCAACCTCCAGCCTAGCACAAGCTACACCACGCAGGTCTATCACGAAAGCAGACCCATGACCATTCCACAACCCAATACTCCAACAACCACCATTTGATCAGCATAGCAGCGTTCCCGACTACCTGCACCTCTACAACCCACACCTCATCCCCGACCACGGTCAATTCTCCCAGAACCCCCCTTCATACTGCCAACGGCGCCATCTCAGCCGTCACAATGGCCGAACGAAGCCTCACCCAGGTCCTGACCCAGCTCAAAAAGTCACCCTCCACGCCCTACGCCGACGCAAACGCCCTCCTATCCAAGGCCAAGCTCGCCCTCCTCAGCCTCAAGGCCCTCACCCCCTCGCCGTCCACCCCCCAGAACATCCTCGCCCTCGCCCGCGAAACCTACGAGCAGGGCGCCCTCTTCGCCATCCGCGCCCGCAACCCGGACGCCTTCACCCGCTACGTCCAGCAGCTCCAGCCCTACTACGAGCTCCCCTCCGCGAGGCTGCCCCCCAACGTGGCCGAGCGGAACAAGGTCACCGGCCTGAGCCTGCTCCTCCTCCTCACCCAGGGCCGCTACGCCGAGTTCCACTCCGAGCTCGAGAGCCTCGCCAACCGTGAGGGCGGCGGCGGCGACGTCGAGGGCGACCGGTACCTGGGATACCCCATCCGCCTGGAGCGGTGGCTGATGGAGGGCAGCTACGACCGGGTGTGGAGGGCCATGAAGAGCAGTGAGGTGCCATGTGACGAGTACAGCGTTTTCTCAGAGGTATGCTTAAACCCCTATCCCTTCTCTTCTCGAGGAGAAGCGCCGAATATCCTGCATCGGTGCCGGGAAGGAATCATTCTCGCATACTGACTCACGACTATAGATCCTTAAGAATCAGATCCGCTCCGAGATCGCCAGCAGCAGCGAGCGCGCCTACCCCAGCCTCCCCATCAGCTCTACGAAATCTCTCCTCTTCCTCGATTCCGAGGGCGACGTCATCTCCTTCGCGAGGCATCGCGGCTGGGCTGTCAAGGACGGCCACATCTACTTCCCCGATAGCTCTGAAGGCGGTGAGGAAGGATCCCAGAAGGAAGTCAGCCAGATGGTGATAGAGAATGCGCTCGGCTACGCCCGCGAGCTGGAGACGATCGTGTAAATAAATAGAAAAAGAAACAATAGGCCTGATGATTCGGGGAAATGAGACAAACGGGCAGCTTATGATTATTGTAAACAACCTCTAATTCGGAAAGCTGGGATAGATCAAATATTAGATACTTCACAAGCCATCTTGCGACGCAATGTTCTAACCCAACATCCCGGGTGACGTTTCCACAAGACAAAATAAATGAACACAAAAATTTTGAGCTCTCTCACTTGAAGACCGCAAGGTCGAGAAACTAGAACTTCTAAACCCTAAATTTTTATTTTCAACATATGGCTGGTCTCCCCTGTTGCCCATGTTGCGTCGTTGAAAAAGTTCCGATCCACGAATTATCTAGCCATGGCGTAACTCCTTTGTCGTCATCATTACAGCTCTACGCAAACAACTTCAATCCACTACCGTGCTTGCCAATCTCGCAAACCTCACAAACCCTACACACCGTACCCCTGAACTTGGAATGATACTTGGATCCGTCGAATGAGCATTCCTCAAAGGAGGTGCCGCTGTAGATGGGAGTTTGGCTGGCTGCGCAGATCTCGAACTCGGCAAATTGATCAAACTCAATGTCAATTGTGTCGTTGGGGTTGCGCTCGCACTGAGCCTTCGTCTTCTTGGCCTATAGATAT